GGGAAAGCTTCTCACAGGGAAGTTTCTACATGTGGCAATCATGCTCGCCATCCCGAGGCCTCCTTCCATAAGCATAAACATCCAGGCAAGTTGTTCAGGTTACAGAGAACGTTTCTTTCTTCATGAATATAGCCACCAGTTGCCTTTCTAAGGAAACATGCAGTGTCTTCTCAGCTGCTTAGAAGATGCCGTTATCAGATGGTCCACCATGCTCTTCCCAATGACAACATATATCTTCCTTCAGATACTACAGTTACGTTTACAATCCTTACAATATTGAAGTGCTGTAGCTTATCTTACTTGTCATAATGATGGACCCACTGAAGAAAAAGGAAAACCTCTCCCTACACCTACACCTCCTCCACTTGCTTACACCTCCTCCACCACAGTTCTCAAGGTCTCCAAATGTTTGGAGAGTCTCCACATAGAGTAAAGGCTTTCCTCTTCAGATTGTCAATTTCCTTAACAACAGAGGGGCTGCTACCATTCCTCAGTTCCTCATATGTTTGGACGAACACAGAAGGCAGCATTAGGATTTCAATCTGTTCCAGTATCCACCAGTTAATAAGGAGGTTGCAATGCATCTCTGCAAACTCTTGTCTTTACAATGACAATAACCGCAACTCACTCTTTCATGGAGCTGCTGTGAGAATGAGGGTGTGTGTAACTGGAATCACAAAGCACTTCTCCATATAGGTCAGTGAACAACTATAAAAGCAGAATATATAGGAAAGAGATGAGATGGCCAATTAGTATTATTATTTTAACAAATAAAACTGCTTTTATCCTTTTTAGATGTAAGAGTGTAAGAACAGCAGAATTTCTTACAACTCTGGAAGGATATTCTTATAGCAGAATGTACATAATGAAAAGAAATGCAAATATTTGATCTTCCTTTGCGTGAAAAATGACATGCTGTATCATATTTTAAAGAATAAAATGCATTGCCCACCTCTCTTTGGAGAGATGGCCTAACAATTAAGAAACATAAAGCTATTAACTGACAGAGACCATTCTCTGTTTGCACAGGAGCCCTATTGAGACATTACAAAACTGAATGAAATGGTGAGTCACTGATAAAGAAGTTTTCCTCTTCAGAGTATAAACCTCCCAATATAGTGGACAATATAAATGACAATAGAGTGGAGAAAGGCCTAGCACCACCACCATCACATATAAACTGTTGTTAACTTTTAGAGAGAAGTTCTCAAAAATAATCAAAATATATGTATTCTGACCCATAAGCTTTATAATTCTGCAGAATGCCAACTGAAAGTGGCCAACTGAGTGGCGATTCCACATTGTACTAATATCTGTAGATAGATATGTATTAATCTGCATGGTGAGTGACTACGTTTTGATTAGCTGTTGTAGATTGGGTGTGTGCCAGGAAAACTGGTTAGTACATCAGTTCTACAGAATAGAATCTGGGTGGATGGAAGAGAAATCTGCGAAGTCTGTTGTAGATTGGGTGTGTGCCAGGAAAATTGGTTAGTACATCTGTTCTACAGAATAGAATCTGGGTGAATGGAAGAGAAATCTGTGATCTGCGAAGTAGTTTACTTCATAAGCATCCTTCAGTCTAGAGAGACTATGGTAATGTGTTCTGTATGGAGGACTTGCAACAGCGTCTAGTGTTTTGACGCTGTACACAAAGCTAGAGTGTCCTCTCCAGGGCATGAAGCCTGGGTAAAAATAATATGGAGGATAGGCTGTTACCCACGCAGCAAATCCCCCCTCTCCATGTCGCTGAAATAGTCCAGTGGAAAGGCAAGAGCCAATACAACTGGTTTCAGCGAAGTCACAGAAGTTGGCAGAACGACACGAACTGCCTTCGGGACTCCAGCTCCAGATTTTGCCTCGAGGTTAACTCCTGAAGCCTTTTCCATCGGTGGATATAGCCACAAGGCAGTGGAGGTTTGAAATTGGAGTTTTCCTTCTCCTAGATGGGCTGCCTTCCCAGGCTAGCGAGTCCCACCTACCCAATTCCAAAGAAAGGTCACAGGGGAGACATGGGTTTCCTGACGGTTTTGTTTTGGGTTTTTTTTAATAAAGATTTTTTTTAAGAGAGGAAGTTTTCAGAATAGTGAAATTTGAGACAAAGGTTGGATGTGATCTTGTACTCCTTCACAACCAAGCATGGGAAAGAGGATAGGAATAATTTGTCCTTTCTGGAAAGCATTTAACCATTCTTAGGTATTTATTCCATTATCCTTATGGCAATTCAAAAGCATGATTAGTAGTAATAAACAAAGCCTTGTTTGTCATATATTTTATGCTGGTCTGTAAATGGTAAGAATAATTAGGCTGAATATTTTTGTATTTCTAAATCTTTTAGTTTTACAGCTGTACAACTTTTAAGTGACCAGCATTTGTGCTTCCCACCCACCCCCCGCAAGATTGCCAGAATGCTGAGACTCCTATATACTCTCTCAACCCTTCAGTGCTGCCTGCTCCTTCCTGCGCCTCCCTCCCTGCTACATGGGCTTCTTCTTCAGCACCGACTGCTCTGAGTCCCAACAGAATGTTTACAAGTAACACTTCCCAAGGGGCTGGGTGTCACCTGCATGCTATGCAAACACACTGTCCGGATCAGCAACAGAAATAGAAGCCTCCATATGCGTCCCCATTGTTACCGGAGGATTTGCACAGACAGTGAAAGCTATGCTAACAAAGGAATCCCAGGTTGTGAACAACAAGGAGACTTATAGCGACTGTTACATCTAACAAGATTTATTTAGCATGAACATTTGTGGATGTAGCCCACTTCTTTGGAAGTATGGATCACAATTTTTAAGCTCAGCAGTTTATGAGCGTGCTAGTTCTGCTTAGATAGCAGGGACAAAGTGAAAGGGAATAACAGAAAGTGCTAGGTGTATTACGGTCATGATGAGCTTTCAAAGGGCTGATTAGCATTAACATCCTGGCAATGGTGAGATCAGCTACACAAGAAGGCAATTATTCTTCAGGATATTTAAAGAAAGGTTCTGCTCACCAGAATGTATTTGTTTTGGCGAAAAATAGAAGTGGCCTGCTTTGTCTCAGAGAAACAAATTGTTATGCTACACACAGTAAACTGAAGCAAGGAAGTCTACATGGAAAAACTGATTATATGATTTTTTTTAAAAAAAAAATCTTTATTTAAGCCAAAAGAGATAGAATTAAATCTCTTGATGTGTTCTTGTTCAGCTATTTTCCTACACAGTTCATTTATGTCAGGACAACCACCCTGTTGTCAGAGACAAAGTTTGTGACCACTGTAAATAATATAATTGTCATTGTCTGTATCTCATTCTATTCTGTCCCACTGCTCCATAACCAGAAACTTTTGATATTTGATCCAGTATTTCATTTTTCCCCCATTTGTCTGATGAAGTGGACTTCATCAGATGAAAGCTCACATCAAAATATAGTCGTCTTTAATGGACCACATGCTTTTGTCTTGTTTTCTTTTATTTTGCTTCTGGCTTTTGCCTGATAACTGATTTTACCATTCCCAGGATGCTATGGGCCAACCAGTCTTTTGCATGTTTATAACCAGTGTTAAAAATCTCTCATTTCATTCTGTACACCTTTCTATAATCAGAACCAGGGTGCATACAATGACAATATTCAAGCCATAGGCTTGAATATTGTACTGCATGCATTTGGGGAACTGGACTGTGTTTGTCTTAAAAACGTTGTAAGACCCTTTCTTGGTTATGCTGCAGAAGACTGATATGACCACCTTGTAGGAAAAAAAAACAGTCTGAAGACTCCTCAAGACATTGCTAATGTAAGAAATCTCTAAGCAACAATAACAGCTGGACAGGATATAACATATCAGGAGGATGCAATACCCAACAATAACCTCTTGCTGGGTGATTATGTATACATTTAGCAATAATCTCTTTACTACTGTCATATTTTCAGCATAATTATATCCTTCATGTGGTTGTCCTAACAGCACTGACTGTGAGACAGGTATTTTATGCAGTCACTATGATATCAGTGCCTTACACACAGGATTTTCAGAATGCTGTTTGCAAACTTCTGACATTCTTTTCACATGGTGACAAATTCTGAGCTGTGGAAATAACACATTTACTTATTTTATTTAATCAGCAGCATCTGCAAGAAGTTGATCTCACTCAAATTAGGTTGAATTCATGACGGGCCTCTAGAAACCTAGATGTATTTTTACACCAGGTCAGGCAACTCTGACACTGCAGAACAATTTGGCTGTGTGGTCCATGGGGCTCCCAGATGTTAAGGTCTTCCTCCACGATCGCATGGTGCTGTAAGGATAGGGGCTCTTTGCCTACTCATGTGTCCCCATGTGGTCTGGTCAGGATGGGTGCATATTATATAAGGGAGCCCTCCCCTCGTATTGGCCTTTTCAGAAGTCATGCATCCCACCCTGCAGATCCAGTATAAGAATAGCTCAGGACCAGATAGAAAATTCTGGCCCATCTTATCTGCACTGAACAATAGGTGGGTGTGAAGATTTTGATGGGCTGGCCGCAGCTGTTATTGTTGTTAAATAGGCCACATTGGTGGGTACTCTGGAAGAGCACATGTTTTGGTGAGTTGCCAAGGGGGACCCAGGAGAGTGCCAGCCCATTCAATATCCGTCTGCTGTGGATCCTGACATTTTGGTGCCAGAATGGGGATGGGGGGGGCAGCGGGAGGCAACACAAAATCTGAACTGGCTAAAATTCCACTTCTAATTTGGAAAAAAAGAGAGGTCTTTTGAGGTGCAAGGAGAGGCTGTGTCTTATTCGCAAGGTGGATACTCATTTCTGGAAACTTCCGGGAGACACAATTCACTCATTTGCTGGTCTGATTGATTGAGGGTAAATGGAAATCTGGAAGAAGTGTGAAGGGGTCACAAACGCAGGCTCAATTAGGCTCCATTGGTCACTTTTGCTTTTCCTGCAGTCACATTCCCAGTTTACATGTATCAACGAAGGATTAAAGATATATATGATACTAAGAGACAAGCAGGATGAGACCCTTACCTTCTATGGTTGCACGCTTAGGCAAAATAGTGATGGCCCCCTCAGCAACATCTTCCTGATGAATTACTGGACTCATTTTTGAGCCCCAAGTATCTGATGCAACCCAGAGGAAATGGCCAACTTGATCAGTCCTTTTTGCTGCTGCAAGGATTTGTCTGTAGAGAGAAATATAGGAAATTTACATAACTATAGAGTGGGATGAGAGAGAGAGAGAGAGAGAGAGAGAGAGAGAGAGAACATTATACTTATATATTTATTCACTTGGGAACCACCGCAAGTAGAGAATGGTTGCTTAATGAGCTAAAACAATGCATCACTGTGACTAGAAGTTCAGAGGTTAAAAGGGGGAAAAATCCCAATCTGTTTCATTGGGATGCTTTCATATTTGCTTTTCATTGTTTCATGGCATCAGATGTTAGCCTTGTACAATTGTACAATCAACAGAACAATCCAATATTGTTAGGAAGCAGTTATATTATTTTGCAATTAGCAGGCTTTTTTAAAGGAAAAAAGATTCCAGGTCATTTAGAAATGTGGAACCTTTTGACAATGCTATCTTCAACAACACAAAATCTTCCCTGTACAGATTTAGACTTCAGTATTACTAAAGGATACACAGAACATGATCTTCTCTATCATAGTTGCCAGACTATCGGGGTCTTCTCAGCCAAATTGACTATGCTGAGCAAACTGAGGGACTAGCCCCTCCAGGGAGAAGGGAGTCCTTTCCAAGCTGCCGGTGTTCAGGCTTCTGAGGGAGGACTGACAAGCCAAACCAGCAAGCAAACCATAAGACCAGAGAAAGGACAGCATTCGGGGGGGTCTATGGCCCTCCCAACTGCCTTCCATAAAGCCTTTCATCGACAATGGCAGCGCATCTTTGAATACTTGTTACTGGAAGATCTAAGATAGTCGTATGTAGGGGAAGGAGGTGTCTTCTTTGTAGAAGCATCCTGCTGGCTAACACTGGAAACAGAATGTTGGATTCGAATCTCCTGCCCTGATCCAATAGTTCACTTTTTTTGCTCTTTGCCTTGTGATCTACTTAAGAATGCAATCGTTCTGCCAGATCAGAGCAAGGCCTAATCTGCCCAGCATTCTGCTCACATATTAGCCAACGTGTTGTTGATAGGAAGCAAGATGTGAGTGGAGCAGCACTTTCCTGCTGATGTTTCCCTTCAACCGATATACTGAGGCACACAGCATCTGATACTGGAGGTAAAATATAGTTTTTATTATCAGTGAGTAGTACTATTCTTATACTCCACAAATTTGTCTAATTCCCTTTTATTTAAGTTGGTAGCTATGTCTACAACTTTTAGTAATACTATATGAAGTGCTGTACCTCTTTGTCTGTTCTGAACAGGAACTGCACCTCTTTATCTACTCTGAGTAGAACAGTGATCTGGCCATTCCCAATGTTTACTGGTGGGGCTTAACCTTTCACAGTCCCTGATGTTTGCACTAAGTGTCAGTGGTGCTGTGGATAATCATTTATTATATATTTTATTTAGTTAAAATACTTCACCCTGCCTTTTTCCTTAAAAGGACCCAAGGCGGCTTACATCATTAGAAGGCCCAAGTCTGGTGTCTGTTTTCTGTCTCCTGAGGATTTTTTTTTTTTACAACAGAGTCCTAAAACAACACAGGCATAAATTACTGCATGTAAATGTAACATACATCCAAGGGCCAATGAATATTTACTATGAAACTGATATTTCATTCAACATTTCATTCTGTTTCCATATGTCTGATGAAGTGGACGCGCCCACAAAAGCTCATAGTAAAATATAATAGTCTTTAAAGTGCCACATGTTTTGTTTTTGTTTTGTTTATTTGGATTTTGCCTGATACGCTTACACAGACCCACAGGATACCTCTTCCAAAGCAGAACACAACCATCCAATGTGAAAAAGAGGCAGCCAGTCACTGAAGAGAAAAGACTTTGCCTTTGGTGAAATACAAGCGGTGAGAGAAGAAACCAGTCTGTTTTCTCACAGTAGTAGAATCAGCACTACATAGGCATGTGAATTGGTGATCCCATTGTAAATCGGGAGGAGCTGTAAAGCAAAGAACTATCCTTCATTGAGAATGTTACAGTTAATTTCTTGTGTGTGTGTTTTAAAATAATCTAATAATCTTAACTAGGTAGATATATGCCCTAGTGGGCACACAGGAGAGGAGCAATGGCATGGCTGCTTCTTAGAGAGTCAGGAACGAAAGGAAGTGAGGCTGATAGGTCTCTTTGTCTAACAGCAGTTGTAGAAGGAAACAGAGATTAGAGAATCAAAAAGATCAAGAAGCCATCCTTGCTCCACTGCTCTTGAATTCACTTTTGCTCATTTGGGCTGGCTAGGAGATAGAGGGGATGCTTGGAGGGCACCAGGCCAACAGGTAGAAGGGAAACTGGCATCTACTGGCAAATTCTGAGATGTTCTAAAGTGAATCAGCAAGTGCTTTTTCTATATCCTGGAACTACAAGAACAAACAGTATTTATGCCATAAAAATGTACGTCTTCTTAACCCTTCAGTTTTCTTATACATCCCAGGGGATCAACATATCCCAAGGGTTCAATGAATTTGATACATTGCATTATATTTATGCATTTTTAAGTGCAAAACATAGCTAATTTTCCTCATAATTTATCTTTATCTTTGTTTTATATTTCCTCACATTTCTTGTTCTGTCACCATAGTAATTTCAGTGCTAATTACTTCTTTGCAGTAGAATATAGACACATGGGTCCAGAGAGATTTCACTGTCATTAATTTTATACTGGAGAAAACACAGCTATCCCACTTTGCTTTGTACTGATTAGGCGAGTATGGAAAAGGCTGTTTGGAAAGATTGCTTCTACCCAGTAGTCAGAAGAATAAAAAGAATATGTGGGCCTCTATTCTCTTGAAAGAAAGAAAAAACCCACATGCGCACAACATCAAAGAAGTACCTAAATATAGCAACAACTTTCTCAACTGTTATGAGGCATCGACTGGAGGGGAAAGGGGGAAAATGGTGGCATGAAGCAAGATGTTACAGAATGAAGCTGATTGGATAGAATGCAGAATGATTATTGATACAGTACAGGTCAATAGGCTGCAATAGCCCTACCTATTGACCTGCATTCCAGCGCTAAAGCAATAACAATCACAAACAAAGCAAAACAGTAAGACATGATAATAAACAATAGCCTGACATAATGCCTAATGCCAAAGTAGTACAAAAAAGGAAACAGTCATAAAGACTCTTTTAATTGTGTCCACTTCTACTTTTATAAACGATCGTTTCATAAACTAGAGAAATTACTGCTGGATAGCTCAGTGCTTTAGGTATCTGGCTGCAGAGCCTGAGGTTGGGAGTTTGATTCCTTCCTCTGCCATCTTGACAGGGGCTGGACTCAATGATCCATCGGGTCCCTTCCAGTTCTGCAGCTCTGAGATGATAATAACGATAGTTACCTTTGCCACCTTTCAAATGGCAGGATTAGAATTTAAATGGCATGTTGACATAATTCATCAGAAAATCCTGCCCTTCAAAAAATGGCATTATCAGCTGCTGCAGACCAGCGTCCTGTTTTTCTTTTCCAGTCCATATAAACAAGAATAGATTCAAGACAGCAAATTTGAGCCAATTATACCATTCAGTGTAAATTTGTTCGATCCATGTTTTAAAATGTCCATGCATGCTCTACTCTGGTTTATCAATCCACTACATTTTCTTTATCACACAGTCAGCTCACTAAGCTGAAACACTGGCACCACATTTGACAAAGTATTTATGCTGGTTGGAGATTCCTTATGCATTCACACATACAAAGCATTTCCTATGGATTCACTTCACTCTTCACTGTTCCATCCATTAACTTACAGAAAATACAAATGGTATGTCATCACACTGACACCCCTTGTTCCCATATTAGTGTTCTGCTTTTGAAGTGGGAACATAGTGAATTTTTCTTGAAAGGCTGGGAGGGGGTATGCTACACTAGGTATGTTTGAGCTTTGGACTGCTCCAAACATTCACACTGGCCCAAATCCTGTTTGTTAGTGTAGCAGGTTGCACTACAGTAGGGCAATCGACTCAATAGAGATTTGGTGAGTTAACTTCTCCATAAATTCCATTGATTCAAATAGCCCTACACTACCTGTGACTTACTATGCTAAAGTAAGTTGCTGTTAGAGTAGGCCCATTTGTATCCATGGAACTTACAGAGTGCATACTCACCAAATTACCGCTGATTCAATGGGCCTACTGTAATGGGATTTACTATACTATTCAACAGGATTTTGGTCACTGTCTGTACCAAACTAAATAAATAAATAAATAAATAAACGACGACCCCGCTGTATGACAAATCCGCAGGAGAGTGATTTTTTGCGATCGCTATAGCGATTCGCAAAACAGTCGTTCCTATGGGGAAATTCCACTGGACATCGATTAGGTCCATGCTTCGCTAACCGTTTGTTCGCAAGACGATGATTTTTCTGGCTCCGCAAAACGGCTGCCCTGTGTTTTCTGGACCCATGCTTCACAGGGCAGCCATTTTAACAGCTGATCGGTGCTTGGAAAATGGCTTCCCCTATGGGTGATCTTCGCTGGACAACGAGGTAATTTCTCCATTGGAATGCATTAAACAAGTTTCAATGCATTCCAATGGGGAAAGGCTTTTCGCATGATGATGAGTTCGCTTAACAGCGAATTTCCCGGAACGGATTATCGTCGTCATGTGGGGCACCACTGTAATGCAAATAAGGAGGAGCCCAGCCTAGATTCATGGATATGCTGAAGAGAAATATCTAAATATTAAATGGATGTTGATCCCAGGATCAGGGGAGGCATCTTCTAATTATAAATTCCCTTGAGTTCAGATGAGTGCCATGAAAATGCTTAAAAAAATTATATTCTACATTGAGCATGCTAAATTCCCCCATATAATATTGGATTTATTCACAAGCTCAGGATTTCAAAATATGAGGGGCTCCTGAATACAAAACAATGCAATTCTAGGTTGGTGACCCTTAAATCTAACATAGCTTAGAGCCCTGAAATATCAGCATCTGGCCCTACTTCCACATATTCTATTATACACCCAAAGTGGGAATATGGATATCTTGATTCAGACAAAAGTCAATTAACCTCTTTGCCCCTCTGCCTGTA